AACTGGATGACCTTAAGGTCCTTTCCAGCCCTAACTATTCTGTGATTCTATGTTATGCTTGAGATGCTGGAACTGAAACTTTAAAGGCAGCTTGAATGCATTTTTAAACTCCTTCTGTGGAGAAACGAACTGGAAAAGAAGCTGCATGATTTAAAGAAAAAAGTTTCAGTTTAAGCAAAGCTGGAATTCTAAATTTATCTTGTATGTAAGTACATAATAATATTGATAAAGAGTGTGTTCAGTTATTTGTAATATGGAAGATTGAAGTCAAGCTGATGAGGGTACATGGCTGTTTCTGTGATGTTGAGTATGCCTACGCAGCTGAGTAAATTTGTGCTCAGTTCTTGGATTGCTACTTTTTTTCCTTCTTTTTCCTGACTCCGTAAAAATAGCAATCTCCATGAGATTAGTAATTGCTCTGAAGGAAGAGATTTTCCTTTCCTTAATGCACATAAGTAGAGAAGTTTAAGAAAGTGTAGAAAATCAGGATTTCAGACTGCTTTCTTGTCAAGCCATCTGGAATAAAATCTTTTTCTTTCTATCATCTTCCTGTCTGGAACTTGATTGCCTTTATCTAGATGATTATGAAAGAGATTTCAGGAAAGGAAATAAGTAATAAACTTTCCTTCAGCTCTGTGTGAATGCTGTCCTACAGCTCTGCTGCTCTACTTAATTGCCAGGTGTAAACCAAAGTAGTTTAAAATAGATGTTAAAGAAAATTTACATTTATTAAATTCTCTGCAAGGAAACAATATTATTCTGACTTGTCTTTCGCTTTTAGCTGTTTGTGATTACATTCAAAGATTACATCTCGAAGTTCAGTAGCTATTTGTATCACTTAGCTTAATGTAGTAGCATTACTGAGACATTAAAATGACATAGGATGAAAATTTTCCTGTCCAGCTGAGAGCACATAGGGATGCAGACAAGGAGTCCTGCTGCTGTTTGCAGTCAAGATTTTCAGACCTCTTGCTGCAGTGACTTGTTTCAGTTTCATTCCGCTCAGTGGAGTTTCAGAAGGCATAGTATTCTTGTGTAATTTATATTATCTAAATGAATCTTTTCCATAGGGTGTACAGAAAACTAAGCTACACCGATGGGAAAGACCAAAATCCTAGCAGTCCCTTGGGCGACTTCATGGTCAAAACTCACAAAGGAGCATTCACGGACTGCTACAGATAAAACCGTTATAAAGCTTGCATTTGTTTTGGTTCTCTTTCTTCTTCCAAGAATAAAGGCTGTTTTATATATGTTTAATCCCAATCTATTTCCCTGTACCAAAATCTTCAGGAACTGGATTGTCTGTTCTGACGGGGTGCTGCTTACTCCTTTGGCTTCATCAGGAATTGCCAGAGAATCAGGGGTCCTTTCCATAGCTAAGTTTAAATTATGTATTTACTAATGTTTATAATACTAGAATATAATTAGTATTATCTTTTATCTACTAATAAGCTTTGATTCTTAACATACTGGTAACCAGCTCTTTCTGCCAAATTCCTGCTTATTTGTGCTTTATAAGACGCATCAATACTAAATAACTTTTAAATTGGGCTTGGGTGATCCAAATGCAGTATTATACTCTGTGATTTATGATATCCCTGCTATGTAATTTTAGTGATACATTTTCTAAGTAACTCACCTGATTTGATTGTTAAATATAATTTTATCTTTTTTAGTGGATTTGATAGCTATTTGGTGTTGTGACAAAGCTGTATGTGACACAAATGACATTTTAAAAATAAAAACCTATTCTGAACCAATACCTGCTTTCAGTGTTTTGTTTCAGGTGTGTGAATTCTCAGGAGGAGTTTATATACCTACAGCATGTACATGAAAACGATGCGGCAGGGTCCCACAGGTTGTCATTGCTGCGTTCCTTCTTAGCAAGGAGATTGTTTAGTGCTATCAGGTCAAGTACATTCTACATGATCAGCATTGCCTCTTGTCAGCTTTCTGAGCTCCAGGAAAGATAAAAAGCATTCTCCTTTGGTTTTACTTTCTGGGCACACAGGAGTGCTCTATTTTAGCTCTTAAAAGCAAGATCTTGTTCTCCTAAGTGTTATTCTTGAATGGAACAAGAAGCCTGCTTCAGTGAGGTTTACTGTGTGATAAGACAAGGCCTTCTGCAATACACACATGCACACACAGAGTGACACACATTCTGTCCCTTGTCATTTGCGTTTTACATATGTCCTTCAAAAGCAACAAAAGATTGTCTTACAGAAATGCATTTGTGGCTCATTTTTCTTCCTGTTTCAGACATGGATGAACTGTAGGGAATATGCTTTATGAACTACCTTCCCCTTGGATTTGTTGAGGTAATTATTTCCTAGTATTTCTCTTTATTTCAGTACTGAGAGATTACCTAACTCCATTAATGTTTTCTGTCCTGAAGTAACTTAAAGGTAAACCGGACTTGGGTTTTGGACATATTCTGACTCTGGATGTGACTTCAATGCAGTGGCCTGAATGCAGGCTAACCCACGTGGGAAGGTAAGTTTATTTAGACAACATAGCAGTTGTCTCCCTGACAATTACTTTGAAAGAATTTTAAGAGGTATTTCTCTTAAGGTGTTGGAACATATGCTCATCCCAATGCCACTCTTTTGGTGCTAGCAGTAGCAAAAATTGGGATGAAGTTACACAATTACTTCTAGAATTTGATTCTCCAACATCCATTTGAGTCAGCAGACTCTTAAAAGTATCATGCAAACAGAAGCCTGTGTTGCTTTTCCTAACGATACTGTTTAAACAGATAGCATCTGAGCATCACTGCAGATGTATAATGATTCCTGGATTATGCCTTCCTAGACTTACAAATATTTCATGGTGCTACTTGGTGTCTCTTGTATTTTTAGCTCCACTCTTCTTCCTTTCCAAACATATTTGCTCCTTCCACCATATTTCCTTGTTTACTCTTCCTTCACTGTTTTGTTGAACTGATATTTGAATGCTAAGGTTACTGTTTATAAAACCAGCCTCATGCTGCTTCCCTCTGCTTCAAAATTGTGAAGAGTACTGGAAAAATGGGTCAAGTTACTGAGATAGTACAAACAAAGGCCTAGCATCTCCTTTACTTTTTTTGTTGTAATTAAGTGTACTTTCTTTATATGTAAATTACGTATGATCGCTTACCTAGATCTTTCTCTTTTGGCTTGAAGCTGGAGCAATGTTCCTTGTACAATTTCAGTAGTCATTTGAGACCCATTCCAAAATTTGTTAGAAAATAAAAACAGGTCTTTTGGTTGCTTATTCAAGTAGACAGAGGGTAAAGAGCTGGAGGAATAAAGCTAAATCTGGCCTGCAGCAGCATTAGAAATGCCTTGGAAACAGCTGATAGGCTGTTAAAGATGATCCTGAAGTGGGGTCTGTGAGAGCAGCAGTGAAAAACTGAATGGAGGCAGTGATTAAATATTGAAAGGAAGTATATGATGAAGGAGAATATTTATGGAAGTGCCCTGCTCTTTTAGCAGCCTATGTTGCAGTTGCTGAAAATTGGCCTAAATAAATAGCTGGACTAAATAATGAAGGCCAAGAACAGAGGAAACTAGATGTACCTGAATCTCATGAAGTGGCCTTACTGTTCCATGTACATTCAATGAGAGAAGTGGGTACTTCATTTCCCTTAAATTAATGATAAGACTGACATGGCAGGTTGAATTTGGGTAACTCAGAAGTTCTTTGACTTTGGAACTCTTAAAGGTAAAGCATAATCAAGAGTGCAAATCCTGTGAGAGAGCTGGGAAATAACTTTTGTACAAAGCATGCACAATTTATATTGCAAATGCAGCATTCCTTGTTTTATATGTTGGAAAACAGTGACAAAGGAATCCATTGACTTCTGCTTTTAGAAGAGCTGTTGGCTCTTTGTACTATGGGCTTTTTGGTTTGTTTCACGTAACTGCTTTCAGGGCTATCTCCTTCAAGGCCTGAGACACTTGCAGGCTTCTCTATGTGCTTGAGTTCCAAGCTCCTTGACACTGTGCCCTGCATAGGTTTTAAAGGCATTAATCCTTTTGTTGAGAAGGACGAGCTGTGACACCTAGAGGTAGGCATGCTGCATCAGGATGCCTTGCTGTTTCCTGCTGCTATTCCTAATTAATGGCTCCCAGAATATAAAAGCAAACCCCCACTCCACAAAAGCTTATCATCTGACGAGTTTAAAGTCTTACGATGAATGTTCAAACAGTATGTGAATTATTTGGGGAAATAAAAGGCTCTTTCTACTTTTGCATGATAGTTGGGAACAACGGCAATGTAAAAGCCAATAGGAATGTAAACATCACATAGGATATTAGAAGGAAAAAATCCTGTCTAGGATATTTATTGTTACAGATCATTTACTAATGTATTTGTGGACTCTTGAATATAGCTGGATACAACATTACGTTAGTAGAGGAGTTGCAAGTTGAGATATATCCTGGTATTGCTTACAGAAGGAAACTAAAGATAGGGATATTGTTAAATCTTGCAAGATGTGCAATTGGTACTTTAAACAAGCTGTTATTCTCCAGTTATCTTTAGATAATATTGTGTTGTTACCATAGACCAGTCACAGTGGGAAAGTACAGTGTTGAACAGCAGATCAGTTTTTAATTGGGAGAAACAACTAAGTCATTATGTGTGCAAGTATGAAACATGGTTTCCTTCCAAAAGTATTGCTAAAACCTTTATGAAGAGAAGTTATACTCTGCTAAAGCTCTACAGAAAACAGAGTGGGTCTTTGGGGACTGTCAGAAACTTGATAGTTGTTTTAAACTAAGGATTCCAGGTGGCCTTGCCTTGGATGAGGGGTTGGACAAGATGATCTCCGAGAGTCCTTTGCAACCCCAAAGACTGGGTGATTCATTTTCACTGGAATCAATCCCATGTGAATGCTGAGATACCAGCTTCTACGACTGCCTTTTAAAATGTCTTCAGATCCCTCAAGTTCACAGTCTGGATCTGCATTTATTCCTTGTTTGGTCTGTAAATACGCTCGGAAGACACTTTGGGAACACAACTTACCCATTTTATACCATTTTTTGGGATGTCAGTTTGCCAGAATATTATTTCCAGTGATTCACTGTTCCCTCCGAATGAACAAGTAGATCTCAAGTTCTGATTGCATATTTGGTTCGTGAAGACAATTCAAATGTTCTCTCCTTTTGCAGTATGAATCAAACCCATTAAGCGAATGGGGTCATCATGAATGGCTTCTACTTTGGCTGGGTTTTCAGCAGCCAGCTGGTCGCTATTGAGGTAAATGCTGACTTTGGAAGCCATTGTGGTGTGGTTAGATGATCTTCCTTCACCCTCTTCTAAGGAAGGGTCTGTCTTTCTCCTTGGTTTTCTGTGTTTTCCCTTCACACTGTGATCAAGCGAGGCATAACACATCTGATTGGCAGGCTCCACCTAGAAGGAGATTCACTTTAGCATTCAATAGTTATGCTTGCTTTAAAACCATGCTTAAGACTTTGAGCATGTCTGCATTCTAATCATCCATAGCGGCTGAAGTGTACCCCAACTAGCTGTAAATGAATTCATTAACAGTAAAAATGATGCACAGGGTTAAGCTGTTGGAGTACAGAAAACAGACCAATGTAACCTAACGGTAAATAACTCATGTTCTTAGGAAAGTGGCAGTAAGGAAAAAATCAAGGTATTGTTGGAAAGACTGTGGGAATGAGGGTACCTTCCGTAACCAGTCCAAGTTCTTTGGGATGCAAGACATTGTTTGATTTGGTTTTCTTCCCAGAAAGAAAAGAAAATCAAATATGAGCGATTCTTGTCTGTATATATGTTGTAATTTCCTGTGCAAAATGCATGCTTTGTGTGTCTTTCCTCTGATTTTCTGTGTTTTTCAAGCCAAATTGCTGAGCGCTTTTGACATTAGACTTTCATAGTTTATTCTGTTTCCATGAAGTTAATGAAAACAAATGTCTAGATAAGGAAAGAGTATTTCTACCCCCTGGAAGTATCCTGAGAGATAAGGCTGGAAATTGGTCCTTCTGAAAGACCTGGAAATCAACTCAGGAAATTGATGCTTGGAGCGCTTCAATTAAAGACAGATCTTATTGAGGCTTGCATGCTTTTAGGCATCCAAGTATCTCAACGAAATAGAAATCAATAGCGAAGCAGTCTTCTTTCATTTGTTAAGACATATATATTTTGTGCTGGGCAGGACAGAGCAGTCACAGTCATGATTATTGTATGATGCAGATTGTGTTTTCATCTGCTCAATATCCAAACTAAATAGAATGAATTCTTTACATAAGCCATGGCACTAGATGCAGGCTTAATTCAGCCTGATCTCTATGCCTATAACTGGACTTCATCATACCGTATGGATGGCAATGAGCTGCCTATAATTCTCCTGCTCTCTCAGTAATGACCCAGACTGAGCAAAGGGTCAAGCTGTGCTTATATTCCCTGATGAACTGAGACACTAAAGCATGGTAATTTTCATTATGAGCAGTGTAAAGGTTGTTATATATTGTCATGGGATAAACACAAGAGCAGAGACAAGACCACATTACCCTAATTCAGGAACCCCAAATTAAAGGTACCTGTAGCTGATTAACTGGTCTTTGAGGCTGGGACGTCATCTGTTCATAACAACATTCCTCTGTAATGTATCAAAGCAGGAAAATGTTTTAGTTATTAAGACACACTACTGAGTCTTAAATGTTCAGAGCAACAGATCCTCCCTTGTTGCAGAACTAACTCTCCCCAGTGTACTCTGGTGGAAGCTTGTTTTGTATTAAAATCACACACAGAGCTCTCCCGCTACTTTATAGAGGGGCAAACAGCTAAGAAATGCAGACACACATACAATGAAAATGAAAAGCATTTTGTGTTCATATGGAGAGGAAGTTTCTCATTATTCACTAAGTGGGCATCAGTTTGGACTGCTAGGAGGATCTCTTGCTGTTGGATAACCACATACTGGTGTATTTGTCAGCACAGGCAGTCTTTTCTTCAGTTGAGAAAGAGACTGTGAATTGCAGCAGCTAGTGATTAACTTCTATTCCTGCCTCTTTTCTCCAAGTTGGGTTCAAGTTATTTGGTCGTGTTCTGTCTTGATTTTGTCATCAGTAAAACAGATTAATTCCTTGCAGTTTTCAGACTGTTGTAGCCAGTGCAGTTGAGTGTTGGCTTGGTTAAATTTGTGCAAACCCCGTATGAAAAGGTTTGGGGGTTTTAATTCATTTTTTACAGCTCAAACACTTTGGTTTTGCCTAACCCCACATAAGGCTGACAAAACGTTGTGTTCATGTCACTTAAATACTGCTTTAACGCCGTAAGGGCTTTGAGAGGCATACCTTCATCATATCGAGCTCTAGCTGCAATTCTATGATGTTATTGCCTTTAATGTTGTATCTCTCTGCAAAGGGTTATTAACTACAGCCCACCAGAGCAGAGTAAAGCTATGTGTGCCCACCATTCAGCTGCTGGGCTTGTTTCAGCATGTTTGTTAATGTTGCTGATGAGCTGTGGATAGCCATAGCAGAGAACTGGTACGTGTCTGTTTCTGCTGGCTTCTGTGGGAGCGCTGACTGTGGGTAGTGACTCATTTATGTCTTGGATTGCTTAAACAAGCTTCAATGTTATTTCAACTGATGCAGCTTTATGTGTGCAAAAGCTCTTGGTTTTGAGATACTTGGCTGAACAGAACCATTTGGACTGTAAAAGCTCAAATTCAGTATGAGATCTGGTCTCAGCAGTAGTGTAGTGTGATGGTTTGCAGTTCTATCCCAAGTAGGTATTCATGCAGCAACTGAAAAGCAGTGGATTCTCAGGTTTGAGAAACACAGACAATATTGGTCAGGCAGCTTTTAACCACACCTGCTCTGAAAGTGAAGCTTACCTAAAATATCTTGATTAAGGTTGCCATAAACTGGGTCATCTTCTGTGTGATGGTTATTGTAGCTAAAAGGGGAATGGAAAAATACTTCTAATTCATAGAGTATACTTTATTTAGGATTCCACTGGTTTACTCTAAAACATTTTACACACATGTAACAATTGTAAATTGCTTTTGACCTAAAAGACAAGACCCAACCTATCGAGGGGTGAGGGGGGAGCCAGGACTGGCAATGTCTCTGTTTTACCGCTTTTGAGCATCATGCATAAAAGAAGAGTATGAAATGTAAATACAGATAAATCATTGCTCCACAAGTGACAGCCTATAATTTATTGTTGTTTTCTGAGAGTTCTCTTAAATTATTATAGTTTTATTGAGTTTGAGTGATAATAAATAGTGATTTTGCTCCATCATGCGCTTCTTTCATAAAGTTATCACATAAGGATGCAATTATTTCATTGTTGAAAAAGTGACTGGAGTGTATCTCTCCTGCATGATTTTATTTCTTTTTTCCCCCTGTTTTCTTTGGAAAACATATTTTTTTTCCCTACAACCATGCTGCCCACAGCCTAACATTTCCAGACAGAGATAGTGGATTTCCCCCCATGCCACCCCTCCAAAGCCATCTGCCATTATGTATTGCTTCTTTCAGCCTTGTCAGAAAGAGATGGTTTTGTCTGGCTTACCTTGGGCTGTTCTCTTCGTAGTCGTTATATAATTTAGCTGGAAAATTTGTTAAAAAGGAAAAATAAAGTTAAAAGAAAACGAAAGGTGCTCTTTTAGAGCACATCAGCACAATTGTGTCAGCGTTCATACTTCTGATTACACTGTCGGAAATAAAACTGAACGCTCTTGGCTCTCAGTGTCTCCCCCTGCTCTTCTCAAATACTTTTGACTAATGCAAGAAGTGTTTGTGTTATAACTCTCTGCTGTGGCTGTAAAGTCTACATTGGCTTGCAGCCCCCAGAAAGGCATTGTAACGTGATTAATCCTTCATTTCCTCCTCCTTCTGCTTCTACCTCATCTCTTTCTCTGCCATGGGGTGTGTGTGTGTGTGTGCATCACGTTCATATTATATGGTGGTTTATTTATTTTACTAGTTCTGTTGCTTGTATCTCTGAGAGATATCCTGTGATCCACAGAGATGAAGACTCTGAAACAGAAAGGCAGAAAGGCTCCAAGGAGATTTGTTGCTAGAGCTTGATGAATAACTCAGGAACGCCAGACTTTCTGACCTCTGCTCCAGCATTCCAGAATTAACCACGGTTATCTCCAATCCCATGACAGTGCAGCAGCAGCCAGTCTGACTGAAGCCTTGCTCAAGGTTAGTTTTGTAAATGATTGTGATATTTCATCATAGAAATATCTGCCTAGTAGCACTAAAAGACAACATAAACCAAAAAGCCCCTCCATCCCACAACACTCCATTAGCTCTTTTAATATCTTGTAATAATCTAATTCAATTCTTTATGAGTGCAGTTTATAACTACAGACCACCTGCTCATGTAGATCATGTACGTATGTGTTTAATGTGGTTGAATCCACCAGTGTCTGTCTGCCCACCCTTATGTGTATTGCACAGATATGGTTTACCCTGTGTAAAGGCAGCTTTCCCTGAGTGGGAGTGGTGGGGATTGTACAACTAAATACATATAGAATTGCATGCATATGAGAGGTTGCCCTGGCATAAAGTCATAGTTAATTTTCACCAAAACCAGAGTATGACTGTAGTCACCCTCTAGCATGAATGAAATCAGTTCCTTATTGTGACACATTGATTTAAGAGCAAGGTTAGCATCCCATGACGAAAAGCAATTGGATCTTTATTTCAGTTGTATTTTTTCCCAAGTCAACTGATTACGTACAAAATGTGTATGAATCTGAAATTCAAAGAAGCATTCGGGACCTTGGGGAGGAGAAAATTCCCTCAAATGTATTTTAAGTCAGTACATTTGAAAAAAGCAAATTACAGGTGTTAAAAATAGATTTAAAAATATAGCCAGAACTAGATTCTTCTGGTATGGATTTGGGTAGCTGTATTTAGCACTGGATTAGGCAGCTAGCGAGCATTCTGTAATCATACCTGACTTCAAACTCCTATAAAGTTTTAAGTTATATCCTCTCTACTAGAATCTCTCTTGCCAAGAGATAACAATTCACATGAGTCAGTTTGTTGGCTTGAAATCTCCCAGCAGTGATGGCTTTCCCTACAGACGCTCTAATCACTCCATTCCTTACTGAGAGACAACATTACTTACCTTGCTTCTTTGTCATATAGTGTGAGATGTTCAGTACCAAGGAAACAATCAGGGCCAAACTCAAAAAGGCCAAAACTCCCCAGACAGAAAAATGGCAGTCCATGTCTGTAACTGAAGGAAAACAGTATTGTATTTTAGGGTGTCTAACAGTTTTGCTCTATTCTTTTGTTGTGGTTTAAGTTGGTTGATTTTTGCTTTTGGTAATTGAAGCTGTTATTTTGTTGTTTACTCTGTGACAGCCATTGCTATACAAGCTACATAATTCATAGCAAAACCAGATGCTAGATAATAAGAAAGCATCATCAATAAAGTGTTAGCGGAACTACTGCTTCATAGGAATTCAGCCAAAGGCTGGGCTATCAGTTTGCCTGTATGATGCAGTAAAAATCAGAACTTGCTAAAGAAAAAACTCATTTTAGTGAATAGCTTCTAAATGATTTTTGTAATTGCCTTTTACTTACTATTTGCAGTGAATTTCTGGCTAAATTTTGGAGTTCATGGATGTAGTTCTGAAGATGAAGTCAGTCAAAACAACTTCCTTCACTTGAAATGTCTCTGAATCATGGTTTAACAATACCTGCAACAAATTTCAAAGGTCGATACGTGCTTTCTTACATCTCCTCTTAAAACCACTTGTACTCATACCCTCGCTGTTCTTCCTGAGAAAGCAGAGGATGTAGTGGCATAGGATGAGCGGTAGCTGAGAACCAGTGAACTCCCCAGAATGACTGCAGAGAGAAACCCAAACAGCTCCTGAAGAATCACTTGGTGAAAGACGGGTCAACTTAATTGAACAAAGCCTCCTTTTGCACTGCACTTGCCTCTCCTTTGAGCCCTGTTAGAAACACAGGAATGAATCTCCCTGCACTGAATATATTTGGTCATTTAATTAATTCTTCGATTAACCTATCATTTGGTACAAATTTTCCATCCCAGACAATGCTGAAGCAGATAGCTAGCTTGTTTATGGCAGTTTAATGGCCAGAATGCCCAGTGTGGCGGCAAATTGCCTGTGGAACCATTCCCTGCCAGAGGAAATGCTGAGCCCAAATACATGAGTGAAAGGAGCTTAAAGCTGGATTATCCACCATGTTTATGTTTCAGGTTTGGACTCTTTGAAGTAAAGACTTGCCCCAAAAACTTATGATCTCTCTCCACTGGCACCGCACAGAAATGCTAGCTGGAGCAGAGGAGTCAAGATGAGAAAGCTGTCAGAGAGAGATTCAAGCAGGTCCTTAATACACTGATTTGATACTGATATAGCTGAGTTCCTTCAGGAGGCCAACATTTGCTTCTTAATGGAAGCTGAGGTAAGGAAGTATGGGAATACTCCTTCCCATGTTGCCAGTCAGGGGTGGGAGGGGGCAATGCATTTGCTCCTGCTGAGAAAACAGAACTTTGTTCCTTGGCCAACTGGCTCTAGCTCACTTTAGGAACTGCTCCTTACAAGTTCCATTCCCTAATTATGCTGGTGTTGAAAAAGCTGTTTTAGTTTTGTTTTATTCCAAGCCACAGATGTTTTTACGATGGTGAAACCAGATGACACTTGGTAGTAAAAGTCATCACAAATCATACGGCCTCCTACAATGCAGGTTTCCTTCCTGATCAGAACTCTCTTAAAAGGAACAAAACAGAGCACGTAGGCTGTAACTTTGACTTATAACTGATTTTCACACATGGTACTTCCAGTGGCCATTGAGCCTTCCTTTTAACCTAAACATCCTATTTCCATTCCTTTCTGTTCTCCTACTTAAGTCTTCCCAAAGGTGTTTCAGGTTTCTCCATCACTGCAATACTACTTTTCATGTTGAGAGGCACTTTTTCAATGAGATACAGACATTCATGAGGAGAGACAACACCGCCATGAAGCAGGTATGTATTATTCCCACTTTTCAGAGAAGGGATTAAAAGGAAGGGAGATATGACCTTGAGAAGCTGTTATCAGACAATGTGAAGAACCATTAGTGTTTGGAACCTGGTTAGTTGTTCGGTATTTGCATCCTATGTAAATCCTGTATAAGTCTCAATGTAGTGCCTATATAAGTCATCTTTCCTTCTCTTCTCCTTATATGTTTTCTGAAGTGATTGTTTTCCATTTGTCTTATTTTTGTTTTGTGTTTCTTTTCCTACAAACTCTTTTTCCTTTTCTGGGAATCAGATGTAGTATTGTGGCCTAAGAGAAGGGAAGCGTATGTAACCATAATAAAAACTACAGCCCTGTGATTCATTAGAATAAAAAGAATGAGTGAATACCTACAGTACAGTTCTGGCGTAAGTATGTACCTTTTTCTTCATATTGAATGCTGTGATTTGTCTTTGTGATTCAGGAATCCTGTTTTTCCTGGTATTTCCAGGGTGGGAGGAGATCTCTTAGTTTCAGTTTGATGGTTTCAGCCCCTAAACTGAACTGGAGGAAGCCAAATTTTTGATGACAAGTATTATTTTGATTTAAATATAAATGATTATCTGGAAAACAGTAAATCTTGGAAAAGAGTTCTTTCCCTTTTCAGTTTCAAGTTTGAGTTCTACGGAGCCTGAGCATTCCCACTTCCCTAGGACTTCAAAAGCATTTGATCAAAACAGAAGATGTGAAACATGGATTTTGAAGAAAACATACCAGTGTTATAAATCTCACAATCAGTAGTTCTTAAATGTGATTTAGAAAACTGCATGGCTGGGGGGAGATTAAGAAAACAACATTTAAATGTATTCCTAGCTGAATACTGCTTAGTTTATCTTCCGCAGCCCTGACTTAAACCTCTCCTTGTGTATTTCAGTAGCATGTATTCAAACCTAAGTGTGACTTCAGTATCTCTTAGGCTTTTTGTCTTTGCAAAATAAGCTATTTGTTCACAGAATCATAGCATAGTTAGGGTTGGAAAGGACCCTAAGATCAGCAAGTTCCACCCCCCTGCCAGGGGCAGGGACACCTCGCTCTAAACCGTATCACCCAAGGCCTCGTCCAACCTGGCCTTGAACACTGCCAGGGATGGAGCATTCACAACCTCCCTGGGTAACCTATTCCAGTGCCTCACCACCCTAACAGGAAAGAATTTCCTCCTCATATCCAATCTAAACTTCCCCTGTTTAAGTTTTAACCCATTACCCCTTGTCCTATCACTACAGTCCCTAATGAAGAGTCCATCCCCAGCATCCCTATAGCCCCCCTTCAGATACTGGAAGGCTGCTATGAGGTCATCAGAAAACACTACTTATATTTCAGAAACAGCAGCTGTTTTTATTTAGCCCATGAAACCATAGTATTTTGGGTTCAAACTTAAACAGGGGAAGTTTAGATTGGATATATTATATTTTTGAAGAAAAGTCCTATGGAAAAATTACGCCCCTGGGGATAGTACTCTATGATTCTAATAGGATATGCTCACATCCATCAGGCTTTTCTGTGATTGTCTGTCTGTGATGGGAATACCTAAGAGTGATAGTAGTTTGTCCATAAGAAATCGTATTGAAGCTGTTTTTAAAGTAAAGTGCTCCTCTGTGGAAGAGAAGAGTTCATTGTATATCGAAAGGTTCCATGGCAAGGGCCTTGGAATGGTCAAGTGGAAGGATGTCCCTACCCGTGGCGGGGGGGTGGGGGTGGAACTAGATGATATTTAGGGTCCCTTCCAAACCATTTTATGATTCTATGGCAATTCTCACTTATCGTTAGAAATAGTTGGGATGTGTGAGTAGGGAGAGTACTATATTTAATTAATATAAAGATGACAGTATTTTGAATACTTAGTGCCAGAAGATTTCTAGTATTAATGATAGGTTCCTATTCTGCTGTTCTTTCATTTCTGTTTGGAAACAGGTCCATCTTGGAGTTGCATCTGAGTAGGACATCTACGTTAGGTAAGTTACTCCATCTGGATGAGATTTCTTACTTTTCTGACTTGAGGGATGAGGTTACTCACCTCCTCTTAGACTATTTTACACTGCTGTAAGCTAAATGTACTTTATTCACACAACAAAATAGCAGACAAACAAAAGACTTTCTAAAGACGTAGTTCATTCTGCTTTTTCTCCTGTTTAAACCGCTGACAACTTTCTCCACCAACAGAGACAAGACACGGAAATCAACAGAGTTTTGTTCGTTTGTTCTTAGGCTTTCTCTTTGCAGGCTTCATTATCTTGTAATTGGGGGGGGGGGGAGTGAAGAAGCAAACAAAATGAGCAAAGGAGCAGACATAATCATGTACTTACCTTTGGGAAAAGGGGCCAGATTTAACAGTTTGGGGCTAGAAACAGTTGTTGATCCTCCTAACAGCAAAGAATAGGTAGCAGAAGTGCTAAGTTTCATTCCTTCTTGTCCTAAGATATTTTGCTTAAACAATCCATCACAAAGGATGACAGGAAGGTAATGGTTTGTTTCCTGTTGTTTCTGTCTTCAAATTTGTTGAAGATGAGATCAAATTAGCTTTTCTTTTTTAACTCTAATTAAATGGCGAGATAAATAATGTTCTGTATTAATGACCCTTAGAAAAAGAAAGCCATTAAGAGACTGATGATTGTTAAATTAGCATTAAAGATGCTTCCACCTGTGTGAGTTTTAAAGACAGGATTAATTCTCCGGAAAGGATTCCTTAAACTGCAGTTAATTAGCATACAACTAATTGCTTTGCAGGATTCAACTTCAGAAGGGAGGCAGCACAATGTAAAGAAGCCCTCAGCACAGTAAATATTTTAAGTGCAAAACTAACACCAATGCTAAATCTTCATTAACAAACGTTAACTGATGCAGCTTTAAGCTGTTGATGACGACTCATCAGCATCGTGATTATTACTGCTAATTGGACTTGAGGACAACCTTCTTGAAGACTGCTAGTCTGCCATAGTGTGTTGTTACTACTCCTTTGTTCCCAAGTTTATAATACTGAAAAGATAAGGCTTACCTGGCGGTGTTGTTTCTAGGACTACTCCCCGCCCCTTCATCCAACAGGAAATCAAGTTATGGTGGCAGATCTTGGATGCTCTTTCGTTCTGGACCTGGCAGCATGAATCTAGAGTTGCTGTCAATTTCAAATGTCTCTGGTCTTCTTTCTTTTACTCACTTTCTTACAAACAGGAAACGTGGCTCAGGCGTTCACAACCTCGCTAGCAAACGGGCG